CTTTATGGTTTCACTTTCTCAACTTTTACTTCCACCATGGTCCCCCGATTATGTTAAGATTTCAAACCGAAAGTTAGTGTAAGTAATGTGTGTTTATTCTTCCACAAAAATATTTGAAGATTTGTAGATGGAATATTATGCATGGCATCAACACTTTCAGTGGCATTTCTGTTTGTGCATTAATTATCATGAGACCTCACACCAAGGAGTGTGGTTGGGTAAAACGCTATCAGCCGCGGGGTAGCCAGTATTTTCGGTAGGGGAAGAGAAACGATGATGATGATGATGATAAGTATTATTTTCATTAATAGAGTGCAAATGGAACAAAATAATAATTAATACAATAATTAAATAAATAACAATAGATAATAAAGAACCTACACTGATAAAATGGTAAAAAATGAAAAAAAAATTAAATATGAGTAATTAAACGATGATTCTATCATAAAATTACATTTTTGAAAAGCTTACCCTCCAACTCCCCTTCAACAATCAATACCACCATCATGTTTCTTTTATTTTAATTTTTTGGTCGGCTTAACATTAACTATTCTAATTGAAATGAGAAAACAAGAAAATAATTTGGCTGCGTAGGCTTCCGCGGCCCGGATAGCTCAGCCAACAAGAAAATAATTTATATGAGTACTATATTTTTTCTCGGCGCCAAATTCAAACGAAAAAAATGAAAAAAAATCAATCTATACTATCATTGACACGGGGAGACGCGTGAAAAACTAAAATCTTTCTATTAAAACACCGGTTGTTGTGAATTTGTTTCAGATTCTTTCGATCACTGGGCCACAGTGAAAAAATTAAAAGCTACATTTTTACCATTTTTGCTTTTAAAAGCACATAGGCTTAAATGTTATAAATCGGATTGAAATAACTTAAATGATGTCTAAATCGGATATAATAGATTAATTTTTAGATGAACAATTAGAGCAAAATAAACTGACCAATATATGAAATGCACTTCCCAAAGTAAAATACTTTATTTCTCGCAGAGTTCTCAATCTAAACGCGTCAAAACTCTGTCATTTTTACTTTCTATAAAGCAGCTTTATGTAAAATAAATCTCAAGGTTCTCTCGTGAATACCCTGCCAATTTTATTTGTGGCACTTTTATTTGAAGTTACATCTACAGTCGACTACGGTTATAGTGATCTGGGATGCAGTGAACCGTTGGATTTTGTTAACCGTCGGTTATAGTGAACCTAAATCATTGGTCACGTTTCACTTACATTACAATCATGTAAAAGAAGATTCTGTTATAGTAAACCTGACCCTCGGCTATAGTGAACATAGGAAATGCAACGTCTTGGAAATTAATTTTCTCCTGAAAAAAAGAAAAGATCGCCTCAGTGTCACAAATTCCACCACTAGGCAATTTGAAAAAATATCGTCGGCCAAGGGTCATAATCGAAGAGTCCCCTGAGGTGTAGGCAGTGGACCCGGAATGGGGAACCTTACTGATGACCGTACGCCACTCATTTACTCTGCGAAACCAAAGGTTGTTTTCCTGCATGGGCCACAATGGGAGGCGACGACGTTGTTAAGATCGTGCTTTTCATTTATTTTGCTATATGTATATATTAATAAAATCAATCGTTGTGGAGAAATTCTATTTAATTTTGACATCAGTTATAGTGAACCTCGGATATAGTGAACCAAAAATGTTAGTCCCCAGAAGTTTACTATAACCGGAGTCAACAGTATCAGTAAGTTTTTAATTATTCGTGTAATACAAAAAGGAATTAATTTCCATTCATGTTATTATTGATTTATATTTCAAAACAATGAGGATTAACCTCTCTAAAAGCTAATAAGTCTTCAAATTGGAGTTCTCTATTTTATTTTCCCTAATTTTTTAAATTATATTTAGCGCCGGCTTCTCCGAAGGACCTGACAGAAATAGAGATACAACCACCAGTGGTAACATGAAAAGGAACAATGCTTATTTTCATCCAGTGTCTAAGAAAAAAGAGTCAAAGAAGATTATGACACTACTAGTATTAATGCCACTATCCACCAGCTCTATTTCAATAAATGCAACAGCTTCAAAGGGAAACTTGAAGGTTGATGATTGGATATTTCAGAGACTATTGTGGCGGCACAAAGATTGAGGGATTATTTAATACGAAATTATAAGCAGTTCTTCCTAAATTGATCTCGACATTATGTAACATTCGATAACGCGTAGTTCTTTGTGTGCGGAGCGCGCAGTTCCGGGGACAGCCAAGGTCCCTGTCCCCGCTCCGGCCCAAGGGACTGGTCGAGGCGCGTACCCATTGCCGCACTCTGCCGCTCCCTCTCTTTACGTGTCGATGGCACGAAGCTACGCATTTCTCGATTCTCATTTCTCGACCCTCCACGACGTTGAGGTCTGGCGTGGACGGTGTTGCGTAAACAAGGAAATCCCCGACTGTGATGGACGAGAATTATGTCTTGGATAAATAAACAGGCACACCTGCGTCGTACTCGGTACTCGGCTGCGGAGCTCGAGACTAGCGTCCGCATTTTCGGAGTGACCGAAAGAGCACTAGAAAAATGTCCACTCTGGAACATTCGAGACACCTACAGCGATTGGCCGAGAAAATTTAGATGCCCTATTTTCTTTGACCATTCACAGCGCGTAATCTTAAGGGCAGGGAGAACAAGAGACTAGAGGCGACTGCCAGGCTGGGCGGATAGCAGAGTGCGAGAGACGAACGCGACTGCCGAGTTCGGTGAATCGCAGAGTGCGAAAGAGACTAGACGCGACTGCCGAGTCGGGTACATGGCGGAAATGTGATCTTGAAATTGTCAAAAGATAGTTTTGTAGAACAAAGCTCGGAATATGAAAGAACGTCAGAGTGTTTCAACGGACGCTTAGAAGACGAAGTGCCAGGTATATTAATTATAATTAGGCATCCAGTAAAGTGAATTTCGACAGTTAGATGCGTTACCTCGCACCTCCGATAAATTATGATTGCTGTTCATCCGAAACGTTCCGCAAACTATTCAGAACCTGCGGTACTCATTTGCGGACAGAGTGGGGAAGAGTACGTTACTGACATTTGACTTGTGAACTGCCGCCGCCGCTCACCGTGAACGGAGTGAACGGAACTTCAGTGAACGGAGAGTGCCCCTGAGCCTCTGTCAATGGACCGCCCCCGACCTGGCATGACTTGAGCGACCGCGTAGCTCGTTCCTGCCCCTCCAGCTGAAGACAGCTGCCGGGTCAATGGCCGCCCGCAGTAGCCACGAAGGGGCCCCGTCCATCCAGGAAACGGTGAAGTCTTCCGGCGTGCAACCACGTAAAGGTTTAAAAGCTCTTCAAGCTACTGGTGAAAAAAAACTCTTTGTTATTCCTGAATGAACATGAAATCATCAAAAAGAAAGATTCGTGTATGACTTGGCGTAGCCGCGCTTTGGCCTTTTAACTTCTTTCTAATTAATGTTGTTGTAATCCTAAATTCAACTCAATAATTATTCAGTTAATTTGAACACGTGTTTTCTTTCTTGTACTTAAATTTTTGAATAATGCCCATCTAATTCTACTGAACCAAGGGACCGCAGGAACTGAGCTAGCTGGCGCACCAACAAGATTTCGACGTCTTAAATGACTGTCACAAACGTGAGGTTGATAAGTATTTAAAATTCAAATTTCACATCGAAAGTGTGCGAATTAACCTCATAACATATGTTACGTTTGTGGAAGATTTACACATAAACTTCAAAGAATGCGTGATAATATGTACGTACTAATGAACTGGTTTCGAATTTATAGAATATAACTATTCTGTTACTCGTGTAGCAAAGTTAATTCCGCAGTTGTTTTGCAAGAAATCTCCCGGCAGCCAGCAGCAGCACCGTGCGCAGCTCAGGAGTGAGTCATTTCTAAGACCTGTTCAGAACAGTGATGTGCGTCTATGCGTAAAATTATATAGTCAACGTCTACAGGTAAACAATGTGTAGACAATGCGCATTACGTAATCTATGTGAACAAAAGTGATCTATCTTTTTGTGTGGGTGAGGAGAGGGCGGAGGTTGGGTAGTAAACACTTGACCATGGTTTCTGTGCAATACGTTGACATTTACAAAATACAGGAAGGATTTACATAAAATCCTAATATCCTTAGGGTATTACGTAAAAATTAATAAAAAATATAAGTAAGAGATTGATATTATTGTTTATTTCGTGATGTTCTTTTGATTGATTTTTATATGATATACTTACGGATTGTTGACTTTTCTGAAAATCTGTTCTATTTGTGTATTTATTAAACAGTGAAAATAAGATTCACGTTGTGTTGTATGTGAAGCTTCATGTCAAATCATGGTGTTCTCTTATTTATTTATTTATATATATAAATATATATTTATATATGTATGTATTTATTTATTTATTTATTTATTTTTATTTCGTAATGTTTATGCAGTATCTAACTTTATTTTATTGGCAAAATCGAAAATAAAATTTCAATTATAAAAGCGGTACAATTATTACCACTATACCTGTTTTGGATTATTATATTTGAAATATCGAATAGTCTAGATATATTACACTGTCTACGTAGTCTACATTGAAAATGACATATCTACCAAACGTAAGTTACATGTAGAAATCATGCGTAGTAAAATTATAGATTAGAGTACAAACTCTCAATACAAGCTATTCCACACGCAAAAATACTACAATTTTTGTGATAAAGGTGCAACTAAAATTTTCCACTTTTAATAACATGTACACTCAGGTAAAAAAATCAAAACATAATTCCACATGTCACACCTGACCGTTCCCTTGACAGTCATATGTCAGTAAAAACAACAAAGTAAGCGATAATCGGACAAATAGAAGAGTCTGCTAGTACCTCTTCTATTTAATGCCCATAAATTTTATGTGAGAGGTGTTTGTCACATACCGCGCCGATTGCAGTGCCCCGTCGATTTTCTATGGAATTGATAGCTCCAATTGATATCTCAAGCTGCATACGGCAGCTTGAGGCATATCTGTCACAGCACTGCTAATGTCCATCAGCAATCAAGATACTGACCATTATTTTCATTTACTTCACGCGGCGTAACTATCACTGAAAGTTAAACAAAATCTTGATAGCAACCAATAGCACTCGCCATTCGACACAATATTCGACACACACTCGAACAGAACTATTCCATGAAAATAAATAAGGCAACTTCAACCATGAGACATAACTGACATCGTAATTTAACGTAAACGTTACAAAAAGGTTTCTAAAGGAAAATAACATCCCAGCCATTTCAAAACAACGTTTCGACCCTTCGTCCGCTAACGAACGGCTGCTCAAGCATGCAAACGTGCCAGCGCGCCGAGCACGCATGAGAACTACACAAATGCGGCACTATGAAGAAAAAGGGCAGTTGTAATGATTTCGAACGTCAAAACTAATTTTTAAGACTTCTATTTTCCCCCGCTGCGACCTCTTAGGTTAAGTTAGAAAGGAAAAATGCTTATCTCACGTTATCTCATGTTTTTTTCACGTTTCATTCATGAAATAATGTAGATAATTTAAACTTAGATTTCGACTCCATGTATATAATTTAAATTTAATTATTTATGAAACCAATTAAAATCCCATTCATTTCAAATTTTGGAATTAGTGAGCCACGAAGCCAAGAAACAACAAAAGTTCATTCACATTCGACATGTTCTGAAAAGAATATGTGCTAAGTATTCATAAGGGTAAAATGCAGACTTTGTGAAAATCCACAATAATTTTATTCTTATTTATGTTCGTCAATCTCCAAAAATACGTTACAGAGTAGATTTCTTAGCACTTTACCGTACGTATACACCACATTCAAAAATTGCTATTTTTGAACTTTTCTGTCTGTAACGGAAAAGTCGCTAGTAGACAAGGAGTCTAACAGCGGATAATTACACAAGTATCTAAGTTAATCAATGAGTGAGAAAGAGACTTAGGTAACTGCTTACAACACTAGATCAACTGCTATCGTGGTAGATACAGAATGCGTCACCAAAATCCGAACAGAACCCATTTTTAAACAAAACTTTATTAGCAAAATATTAAATATATACAAAATCCTGTCACATGGTTCACGGGGAACATCTAAATACAACAATCATTCAATATAAAAACCTTTTTCTTTAATAACAGCCTCCAATCTTTGTCTGAAGCGGCCGCATGCACGACGCGTTCATGTCGGCAAATGTTGCCTCAATGGCGGACCGTAATCACGTCACAATTGGATGTCGAGCCTTGTTGGACACCCTTTCAACTACGCTCCATACGTAATAATCTAAAGGATTTAAATCGGAACTGTTTGGAGGCCAAAATTCCTTTGACCAAAACATGTCCAAATTGTCTGACATCCAGTTCTGAACCAAATGGCTCGTATGAGCCGGTGCACCATCTTGTTGAAAAAATACGGCTTTCCAGACGCTACTGTTTCCATCCAAGGCTTCACAACAATGGAAATAACGTTGAAATAAATTTCCTTCGTTACAGTTTCTTTGTTTAAAAAAAATGTGGGAGCATGACATGACCCTCTCTGGACACAACACTTAACACATGGACACTGACGGGAAATTTTGTTTTGGCAACAATGAGGACATCCTCTGGATATTGTGCAAGCCAGCAATCATTTCTTCTGTTGTTTATTTCGTCAACCGTAAAAATCTTCTCATCAGAAAAGAATCTGATTCATTGCGCAGCATCATTTTTCAATGAAGTCAAAAGCACATAGCAGCGACTGACTCTTTTCGTCCTAGCAGCCTCGAAGAGCATTTGTCTTACCTTCAACGTGTAGGATTTGTATCGAAGATATTTGGCAATCCTACGCATTCTCAGTTCGCTTACACCAATAATTGTTGCCAATGATTGCAATGATTGCCTTGGATTCTTGGAAATCAGCGCTTGAGCTCTTCTGGCGTCCTCACGATGCGGTCCTTTGAGTGAGGCGTCCTCGCTGGTACGCAGGAATCATTTGACTGTTCTGAAGCCCGGTATTTTGTCACATCATAAACTGTAGATTTTGGATAGTTAAAAAAGTTAATTATCTCTGTAGCTGAGCGGCCAGCGCGGAGGCATTCGACCATTGCAGCTCTTGTATCATATTCCGCACTTTGTTTTAACGTCGTAGCCATTTTGAAACTGCGATAATTTACTACAAACGTTAGGCAATGTAGTACTACAACGACCTCTGGCGGAACGTCAAAATGGCGGGAAATTTAAATTTAAAATTGTCCGGATTCTGGTGACCCATCTGTATATCATCATGACTTTAACACGTGAGTGTTTCTTCAGTGAAAACGGCATCATAATTTTGGAAATTCACTACTTTGTTTATTTTGGTTAGTTGAAAAACTTTCCAGAAATAACAAGATTGTGTAAATACGATTAAGCAATGTCCTAACTTATGACAAGATTGGGATGTCAAAACGAAGAAACTTGGATTGTTTAGTGAATGCGGGCACTTCAACTAACAGGGTCGTTAGTCTCGTAAATGTAGAGCATGTTTTTGCTCGGGAGGTGGCGGTGAACCTTCCCCACTGTATAGCGAGATCCAGCGCTTACCTACCGTTGGCTAGCGGGGTTTTCCTCAACTAGGTATCTCCCAACAGCGGGACACCGCCCCTGTCGGGACAAGCTCTAAGCTCCCGACCGATCTCCCGGCAAGTGTGGTAGTGTAGCGTATGTTAGTGTAAGTGTGTGTGTGTGTGTGTGTGTATGCGTGTAAGGGGTGAGCATATGACAAGGAAGAAGAAGGCGAGATCGTCCACGGTTCGTAGCCCGTTTGTTTGGGTACTGCTCCGGCATTCGCCTCGTATTGATCGGAGAACCCACGGAAAACTACAGATCAGAGCAGCCGGCCGCTAGCATTCTACTCCAGAGAGCGGCTGAATTTGACCGAACATCCTGCCATCATCGCGAATCGAACCTAGAACCGCCCAGTCAGAGTGACTGCAGTGACGAAATGGAGAAACATTGCTCCAAACAAAAGTTAATGATTGCATAACCCTGTCGGTTTAAGTGGCTCAGAGCATCAATTGATGTCACGAGTTCGAATTTGGGCAGTGGCAGGATTTTCGACATAAGCTAGGAAACTAAGTCACCTGCTATCGGGAGAAGACTTCTCGCAGTCGGCTGCTCGGGTCAATAGTTTTCCATGGTTTCTCCGATGAACACCACGCGAATGCGGGAGCAGTACTCTCACAAACGGGCCGGGGACCGCGCGCGATTTTTCCTTCATCTTCTTTGTCCTATCCTCACCCCTTACACCTACTCTTACATCCACTTCACCATCACACATATCGGGAGCTTAGAGCTTGTCCTGGCTGGAGCGGCGACCCGGTGCTGGGGGATACCCTGTTGGGGAAAACCCGCAAGCTGAAGTGCCGCTCGATGCAGGATCTTGCCATCCTGCAGGGGAAGATCACCGCCGCCTCTAGCGTTAAAAACGTACTGTACTCCACTAACTGGACTAAGCGACTTAGCTGTTGACGCTCCCAGAATCGCAAATAATACAAGTGGATAACTTTGTAAAGGTGAGAGTTTGAAATTAAAGAAGGAAATCAGCGCAATAAAAACACAATATATCATGAAATTAATTTACGATAGGAAATATTGTAGATTGTACCAAGTTTAGTTTTCTAGTACATTAAAAAGCTTTTGTTATGAAAATGTAGATAACAAAAAAGTGCTGATGTTTATTACAGTGATACATATGGGAAATTTACAATCCAGTAAGTAATGTAATGCAGAGGGGTGATTTCGTATCTTTTATGGGAGGTAGGGGCAAACTTGGGCGCTGTTATACATACGAAAATATTCGTTTATGTTAATGCTTTAAGTTAATTGCACTGCAATTATATATACTGTGTCAATTTTGTTAATTATTTAATTATTATTGAATGTATTAGGTAGATTAGATGAACACAAATATAACTCAAGGATTAGTTTCCGAGCAATATTGTATCCAATACGTGCAATATTAAAAAAATATCAAGATTTTCTCGAAAACGGCTCTAGATAATATCTCTCATGCCGTTAATATGCACAATTCCGGCGATTAGTGTACATTATTACATTTGAGAGTGGCAGTGCTTTAAACGACATCCAATAAAGTTTTTCGAAATCTCAATTTATTTCTGTGAAAAGAGTTTAAAATTGTGCATTTACACAAACGCTTAAACGCCATTTTCGTAAAATTAGCACCCAATTTTTGAAAGAAAATTTCCGTATATGAAGAGATTTACCCTTCAATAATATTCAAGTAATTTTTCTGACATTAGGTTTAGACATTAGGAAACAGAAAAATCGAGCATGTCCAGTGTCGGTGATGACAGACTAAGGCGAGACGTAAAGGTTTGTGTCGTGCAGTCTTCAAGGGTACACAAGTAGGCATTTGGCTCCGAAATCCCACATCGATGTCTCGTTGAATAGTTGCACGCTGACACATGTTGATGGCCCAACATTGAAATCTGTAGCAATATGCGGAAGGGCACATGCACTTCTGTCATGTGTACAGAAAAAGTTGTGCTTTTTGGTCCGTCAGTGAACAAGCGTCCAAATTATTCATAGGATTTTTCTCAAAATGAATATTTCTCGATTGATCAGAATTTCAAGGCCCTAAGAATTCGTAACAAATCTTTTACTTTTTGGAGGTTCTTTACATGACGCCCCAGGGGCATTTTTAAGGTTTTTTAAAAAATGACTCCATTTTATGCTAACATACAATTAATAAGCTTGTGAAGATGGCAGAAGTCCGAATTTCATTTATATCTGTAAATGTTCGATAATTGCAAAAAGTCGACATTTTTGGACTCCCTTACACATAATACAAGCTATTTTTGTGAATGAAAGTTATTCTTCATAATAAAAGATCTTTCATTAATGCCGTATATTAAAAAAGAGTCGTATGCGCGTAATGTTGAGTGTTATAGGAGCAATTAAAAACTACGTACGACAAATTTCAATTCAATGCTACAATGCACATATTGTCTTGTATTATTCGTAACGGATACGTAAAATCCGATTTATTTAACGTGGCACCTCAAGGCTACGCGATGCACACTGTCATCCAAGCC